AGAATGGCAAGAAGAGAAGCAAAAAAGGGAAGAAGGAAAACAAAAAGGCGAAGAGGTCAAAAGGAAAAGGAGAGCGAGGTATAATAAACAGGGTGCGTACGGGTGCTGGAAATTCTTGAAAATGCTTGAAATTGTACGAGGTGTTTTCAAGGTTTGAAAAGTGCTTGAATTTTGGGAATGGTGCTTGAATTTGGGATAAAGTGCTTGAAATTGTAAATGCTTTACTTCGCTTTTTAGATTAAAAGAAAATAAAGAAGTCGGAGCGCGCTTAATTGCTTCGCTTTTACATAAAACAGCTCCGCTCCGGCCTTCCCGCGCAATGCGCGTGACCGGCAAGTGTTTTTGTTACGTGTGTGACCTGGGCATTCTGATGAGAGTGATAGATGACAGTATGCCAGGAGGTTGCCGTTTCAACGAGCGTTGGCTAGCAGAAGACAAATACAAGCCATGGCTAAGACGAGGGTCAAGCGAAGCCCAAGAGTAGCCTCCTGCAAAGTGTGCAACAATAACGATGCGAGAGTCTGCGCTGACGAGCCACACACCACACGAAAGGTACGCCATAGTAGAACATTTTAGATTAGGCTATCGTTGCATGTAAAATACATGACACTTTTCTCTGTGCGCGGCAAAACAAGCTCGCCAAAATGGCTTCACTAGTCTGGCAGTATTTTAAGTGTCCGAAAATGACAATAAAATAGCGGTATGCAACGTGTGTGTGAAGCAGAAATCCTGCAGCTCCACCCGCTGTGACGGACCGGTGAGCGGAGCAGAACACACATTAAGAGTTAGACCTAACACACTTAGCTATTTTATCTACCTCTGGAACAAGCTAAACTAGTTATAAATATATTTATTCTTCACTGTCGGGTCGCTCATTACTGGATCAGTGAGCTGCAGGAGATACTGACGGGCTGTCAGGAGAGAGAGAGAGGGGGAGAGAGAGGGAGAGAGAGAGGGAGAGAGGAAAAGAGAGCGGTATCGGTATCGGCCGATACTGATTCCGGCGATCGGCCCCAAAATTGGCGATCGGAGCATCCCTAATAATTGTATATGATATGTTTTATAATGATTGATCATTAAAGTGTTCTCAAAGCTGGTAAAGTTGCAGCTAGTTTGAATGACTTTGTATACTACAGAGTAGCTTGTGAATTTACTCCAGGTGGAACTAAAGTCTGATTTAACACTTGATTATATTTCACATCATTCATCCACATCTGTAAAGTAACTAAAGGTATTAAATACATGTAGTGGAGTCAAAGTACACCAGTTACCTCTGACTTGTGTTTACTGCCAACCTAAAAGTACCTCAAAAATAGTAATCAATAATATATTGAAAAGTTATTTGGCTGATTGTTTTATATTGGCTCAGCCAGGTTATATGGGATGCCCAGTCTACGTACAGATGGGTCACACATTTTGAAATCCTCATGTAGAATGCTATTATGAAACACACATTTGGTTGTTTATAGCATAAAGAACATCTGATTTAATGTGAGGTATGGAAATAATCATTTGAGTATAAGTATGTGTATATAAATATGTAATTTACAACAGCTGTAAGATGCTTGAAAAGCTTGAAAATGCACCTTGAAAATGCTTGAAAAGTGCTTGAATTTGACTTTGGAAAAGGTGTAAGAACCCTGAATAAACTAACACACCTGCTGAATGTATTTAGGTATTATGTATTTAGGTTATTATTGTGAGCTTAGTGCTTTATACTGGGTTTGGGGCATACAATCCCATTGACCAATCATCATCACTCTTATCACCAATGTACTCTTCATCGTGCCGGAGTGGTTGGGGTGTAGGTTGAATGAACTAAAATAGAGGCACACCACATGCTTACTAGAGGTGTGGCCTCACGATTCGATTTGAATACGGTTCACCTGTCAACGATTCAAATTCCCAACAATCCTCGATGCATCTCAATGTATTGCATCCTCAATTTTCTATATTACTGCACATAGCAAAAAATGTTATCTATTAATACAAGCAGTCAGATAAATCTGAACTCCCTTTTTTATTTAGAAAGTGCTTTCAAAGATCTGACTGTACAGACTTTAATATAAAAGCTTCTTTTCAATACCAGTATCTGTGTGAGCCACCTCACATAAACTTAATAAAAACAAAACTTAAATAATTCTGCAGTGTGCTGTAATCTACAAAAATAAGGTTTTCACATAGCAGCTCAGTGTTTCCCTAGGTTGACTGCTTTGGGGGGGGTGAATGGGCAGGGAGATAACTTTTCAGACTATTCCGGCATCATGTGAATGCAGCACAAAGCCGATGGCATTTACACTGCCTAGCAGCTACGGACCTTCCCTTACTCATAGTTCTTCTACTATGCGATATCTATGAGCGCACAGCGGACGTTTGATTCTGCGGGGAAGTGCAACCAAACAAAAAGTTGGGGATATTTCAACTTTTAGTGGCGAAGCGCAGCCAGAGAGTACCCGCAGCCAATCAGTAAACAGAGTCCTGACACGTTGACCTATGTTATAAAGAATTTCTTCTCGTCTGAAACACATGAACACGCCTCAGAAAAATGTCATCATTGTGGCGATCTGCACTTCGCTGCTGCCTGATGTGAATTTGGCATAACAGAGCAGCTGTTATTGGTAGTGAGAGCAACAAGTTAGTGGACTGCAGATCGTTTGAATGCCGCCTCTCACCTCTGCACACACGGGGTGTGTGTAAAGCTCTGCCCTCGGGGAAACGGAGATCAGAGGAGAGGAGAGAAACTAGCGCAACATAAAATGACAGAACGCAGTAAGACTCTCACTAAGCTGATATGAAACCAAACTCCCGATTTATGTTCTGTCACTGCATCGATGCAGAATCGTACATCGCGATGCATCTTATAAATCGAGAAATGTCCACACCTCTAATGCTCATCTACTATGGCTGTTTGAGCTGAACCTGTAATGAATAATGAAATATAAATAATGTTCTCACCAGTTTTTACCACCAATATGTTTTTTACCAATAAATAGCAAATTATCTAACTAGATTTGCACACTGCGCATACAGGCACACTACCTAGTACCTACTATAAAATACAACACATGTTCTAAAACAAATGGGAAGTCACACACATTCATCCAAGTTGTAGTCCCTTTTCAAGAGAAAATATGTGAGAAACACTATGGCTCACCCTGCAACTAAGACACTGCACACAATACACACCACAACAATTATTGGGGGGCCATAACATTTATTGACATTAATGTATTCTTTATTTTTCAGTGTCTTCCATCTCAGATGTGGTGAGGAGATATCGGCGTGTCCTTAAACTGGTGCAGAGAGGCTTCAGGATGACCAAAGCTTTTAAGAAAGCTCATGTTTCCAGGAATGCTGTGAAAGACACTGCAGCAATTGCTGAAGTATTCCTGGTAGATAAAAGTGTCCTAGACCAGTTTAAGGGTAAAAACACACTTTTAAAATTAGCCCAACTCTGTCAGAAGAAAATAGTCGGTGAACTGGCAGAAAAGATAGATGAAATGAAAAGGAACAAACAGCTCATCCCCTTTTCTGTCAGGTAATTCTGAATGTGGGTTGAGCGTTGTTGTTGTTGTGGGGGGGGAAGCTACTTTTGGGAAGTTTTCCTTCTCTAACTCACAGCGGGTATTTTATTAGCTGATGTGTATTCTTAATTTTAAGTTTGTACGCCTACAAAAAAAATATATAAGGGATTGACTGTTTCCACCAGAGGTTTATTCCTGGTATTGTAGAGAAAACTTTAAAATGTAATGTTAATACACAGTTGTGAAATATAGTCTATTGAAACGCTAAATGAACAGTTGAATAATGTATTTTCTTTTTTATATATATATATATATTTTTTTTTTTTGATATATAGTAGTAAAAAAAAAAAACTTTTAAGTATCTTAGTATATGCTGTGTATGGTCAATCCCATGCCCTGCAGTTTTAGGCAAACTGTTAAGCCTTTTTGCATTCTATTTTTGCATTCTATTTTTGCGACCTGTTAATAATTACGTTTAAATGTAGGATTTTAGTAGGATTGAATGTGGTTCACAACTGTTCAGTGTTTTTACTTGTAGTGTATTATTAAAATAAAATAGCTTTCTTTCTCTGATATGCTGTGTATAATGTTTGTTCTACTGTGCTTTATAGCCTGGTATTGACTTCAGTTATCCAGTGTTTGTGATCAGTTGTGCAAAAGATTTCGCTTTATTCCCATGTCTGTTGCATATAATTAGTGGATGACTGTATGTGTTCTGTTGATAGGTTATAGACTTTCTACTGTTCTCAACTGTTTTTCACTTTAATTGGATAGTCCTAACACATGCCTACAAACGCTTAGTGGAGAACCTACTAAAAGTATACTGATAGTCAACTCTAGATTAGTTGACAATCAACAGATAGTCAACTAAACTCTAAAGTTACTTATCTGTTGATCATCAACTAATGCTTAATGTAATAGTCAACTAAACTCTAAAGTTGCTTATCTGTTGATCATCAATTAATGGTTAATGTAATAGTCAACTAAACTCTGAAGTTACTTATCTGTTGATCATCAACTAATGGTTAATGTAATAGTCAACTGAACTTTAGTTGCTTATCTGTTGATCGTCAACTAATGGTTAATGTAATAGTCAACTAAACTCTAAAGTTGCTTATCTGTTGATCATCAATTAATGGTTAATGTAATAGTCAACTAAACTCTGAAGTTACTTATCTGTTGATCATCAATTAATGGTTAATGTAATAGTCAACTAAACTCTGAAGTTACTTATCTGTTGATCATCAACTAATGCTTAATGTAATAGTCAACTGAACTTTAGTTGCTTATCTGTTGATCGTCAACTAATGGTTAGTTACTTGTCAGTTTGAACGGTGCTGTTGAATGTCAACTGACACTTGTCAACTGATGCACTGTTGACATGCTACTAAATGTCAACTGATGACTTATAGAGTGTTAACTATGGACTATCAAAATAAAGTGTTACCCAGATGTATATTTTGAAAATGCTCTCACCGCATTTAGAGCTGCTGTTTCAAGTGCTTTGTATTCATTGCTGTTGGAGTCAGTGAGGGCAGGTGAAAAAGCCACTTCTTTAAATTCTGCTGAGAGAATATAAGTGGGTTCAGGGGCTGCAGGTGTTGTTGTTGCTGCGGATGGTGTGGTTGTAGGTGGAGCAGTCGTAATCGGATCTTCAACTGGACTGTCTGTAAAACAAAAATTGGTTTAGCAGAGTCATATAATCTAATTTTGAAGTAGCTGATTTGAAAAAACGGTGCAGTTAATAACAATTCCATTATCATTATTATTTGTAAATACAAGGTAGTTAAGCTAATTGATTAACATGCTTGGATGTTGTCTTCAATAATCTTTACCTCCATTTAGTTTCAAAGTAGAATAATTTAGGTGATTTATTTATAAACAGAGCATAAGAACCTCATGTTTTCTATATCTTTTACGATCTGAAAATGACTAAATATTGTGTTGTGGATACTTACCTAATATCATGACTGAGGTGGGATTTATGCTCAAGTTGAAGGCATTGTCGGAATTATTGACAGCTAGTATGAAGTCTTTAATAACAGCAGAATTCATTGGGAGTTCTGCTTGAGAAGTATTCCCATGGAACACAGCTGCAAAAGTCGCCCGAGTTTCAGTAACTCGTGTTACATTTGAGGCACTGTATCAGAAACACAATGAGGAAAGTAATATGAGATTATAATATTGTCTTTTGATATGTATGATTAACTACCAATATTAGAAGATACACATGTTAGACACTCAATAAATAAATAGTCAGAGAAGAACTCAAATCACAAATATTTATTTACCGGAATTCTTTCAAAAGGCAGTGGGAAAAGGTTTTGGGATAGGTTTTTCTGTATATTTCACCACACTGCAAAAAGAAACAACATTGAAAGATTAGCTTTCAAGCACAGTTTTCTAAAAGGCAATTATGAAGATATGCAACATTAAAAGGCCATGATTAGCTTTCATTGACATCTTAAACTTTCCATCCGATTGTTCATTCACGTTCAAACCAATTCATTTACATTTGTGTGATTTGAAAATGCACTCACCGCATTTAAAATTATTTTTTCAAGTGCTTTGTATTCCTTGCTGCTGGTGTTAGTGAGAGCAGGGGAAAAAGCTTCTCCTATTAATTCTACGTTTAGAACATAACTATGATCCGGGGCTGCTGTGTTTGTTGCTGCTGCAACTGGTGTGGTTGCTGGTGCATCAGTTGTAATTATATCTGGCACTGGACTTTCTGTAAAACAAATATATTAACAATATGTGAATACATTTTAGTGCAAATACTCAAAGGATATATTTATCCTTGTATGATGTCAAATTTACTTTGGTTACAGTTTCACAGACCAATAAGAACCATAATAAAAGGCTTTCAAAAAGTAGTCTTTGCAAACATTCTATTATCTTATCTAGTGAATGATGAGTAACGATATATATCAGTAAATAAGAGATTATTCAATTAAAAAGCTTTCTTACTGAATATAAGATAATTTGGAGAAGAGCTCGTCATGCATAGATTGGACTGTACAACACTGAATATTGTTGAGGTTTTCAGAATGAGTTCAGTTGCTGACTTATTTATGAACTGAGCTTGAGCGGCACATTCTATTCCAAATGTATTTCAAATGATGATGGTACAATATTTTCTTGTGTTTACTTACCCAATACTTTGACTGAAGTGGGATTAATGCTCAGGTTAGGAATATTGTTGGAATTACTCAGCGCTTCTACTAAGGTTTGAGCAACAATATCATTCTGTGGGAGATCTGCAATGGCAGTAGTCCCATGGAACACAACCCCCACAGTTGCTTTAGTTTCAGACCCTTGTGGTGTATTTAAGGCACTGTAAAATAGAAGGGAAGGGGACAAGTATTATATTATGACTTGAGATGATTCTGTTGCCTTGTTTAATTGTTTAAAGGATTAGAGATACACATTTTAAGACTGAAATCTTGCATTTAGAGTTCAATCAGAGAAGCACTCTAGGAAAATCTTCTTACCTGAAGCTTTTCAAACGGCAGTCGGAAAACGTAGTTGGGAATTTGAGGCTGTATTTCTCGTTACACTGCAAAAGAAAGCAACATTCAAAGACCTTGATTATTGTTTAAGAACATTCTTTCTAAACAGATATGACAGTTGCAAAAACATTCTGTAAAATGCTTTTTTCACACCGCGATAATCAATCAATGGCAAATGCATATTTTGAAAATGCTCTTACCGCTTTTTGTATTGTTACTTTAAGTGCTTTATATTCATCGCTGTTGGAGTTACTGAGGGCAGGTGAATAAGTCGGTCTTATCAGTTCTGCTGAGAGAATATAAGCAGTTTCTGATCCCACAGTGTTTGTTGCAACAGGTGTAGTTGGCGTGACAGTGTTAGGGTCTGCTGTCGTAGATGCTGCAGTTGAAAGTGCAGCTCTTGTTGTTGCTGATGTCATGGAAGTGCCAGTTGTAGGTGCTGCACTCGTCAGAGTAGCAGGGTTTTTTGCAACACTCGAAGGGGCTGCTGATGTGGGTGCATCAGTGGTTGCAAGCGGGGTAGTTGGTGCAGCACTTGTGGGTGCTGCTGTTTTAGGTGCGGTCGTCGATGGATTGCTTGTTGTAGGTGAGGCAGTTGTAGCTGATACAGTGGTAGGTGATGCAGTCGTAGGGCCCTCGGTTGTAGGTACGGCCGTCGTAGGAGCCGCAGTTGTAGGAGCGACTGTGGTAGGTGCGGCAGTCGTAGGAGCTGCAGTTGTAGGTGCGGTCGTCGTTGGATTGCTTGTTGTAGGTGAGGCAGTTGTAGCTGCTGCTGTTATAATTGCTGCATTTGTTGGACCAACAGTGGTAGGTGCTGCAGTCGTAGGAGTTGCAGTTGTCTGTGCTTCAGTTGTGGGTGCAGCTGTTGTAGGGGCTCCAGTTGTAGGTGCTAATGTTATAGGAGCCATAGTGGTAGGAGCTGCAGTTGTTGGTGCAGCTGTTGTAGGTTTGGCAGTAGTTTGAGCGCCGGTTGTAGGTGAGGCAGTTGTAGGTGCTGCAGTTTTAGCAGCAACAGTGGTAGGTGCTGCAGTCGTAGGAGCCTCGGTTGTAGGTACGGCCGGCGTAGGAGCCGCAGTTGTAGGAGCGACTGTGGTAGGTGCGGCAGTCGTAGGAGCTGCAGTTGTTTGTGCTTCAGTTGTGGGTGCAGCTGTTGAAGGGGCTCCAGTCGTAGGTGCTAATGTTGTAGGAGCTGCAGTTGTTGGTGCAGCTGTTGTAGGTTTGGCAGTAGTTTGAGCGCCAGTTGTAGGTGAGGCAGTTGTAGGTGCTGCAGTTCTAGCAGCAACAGTTGTCGGTGCAGCTGTTGTAGGGACTCCAGTCGTAGGTGCTAATGTTGTAGGAGCTGCAGTTGTCGGTGCAGCTGTTGTAGGTTTGGCTGTCGTTTGAGCGCCGGTTGTAGGTGAGGCAGTTGTAGCAGCAACAGTGGTAGGTGCTGCAGTTGTAGGAGCCTCGGTTGTTGGTGCAAGTGTTGTAGGGGCTGTAGTTGTAGGAGCAATAGTGGTAGGGGCTGCTGTTGTAATTGCTGCATTTGTTGGACCAACAGTGGTAGGTGCTGCAGTCGTAGGAGTTGCAGTTGTATGTGCTTCAGTTGCGGGTGCAGCTGTTGAAGGTGCTCCAGTCGTAGGCGCTAATGTTGTAGGAACCATAGTGGTAGTAGCTGCAGTTGTTGGTGCAGCTGTTGTAGGTTTGGTAGTAGTTTGAGCACCGGTTGTAGGTGAGGCAGTTGTAGGTGCTGCTGTTGTAGGTGCTGCAGTTGTAGCAGCAACAGTTGTCGGTGCAGCTGTTGTAGGGGCTCCAGTCGTAGACGCTAATGTTGTAGGAGCCATAGTAGAAGGAGCTGCAGTTATTGGTGTAGCTGTTGTAGGTTTGGCAGTAGTTTGAGCGCCGGTTGTAGGTGAGGCAGTTGTAGGTGCTGCAGTTGTAGCAGCAATAGTGGTAGGTGCTGCAGTCGTAGGGGCCTCGGTTGTAGGTACGGCCGTCGTAGGAGCCGCAGTTGTAGGAGCGACTGTGGTAGGTGCGGCAGTCGTAGGAGCTGCAGTTGTAGGTGCGGTCGTCGTTGGATTGCTTGTTGTAGGTGAGGCAGTTGTAGCTGCTGCTGTTATAATTGCTGCATTTGTTGGACCAACAGTGGTAGGTGATGCAGTCGTAGGAGTTGCAGTTGTCTGTGCTTCAGTTGTGGGTGCAGCTGTTGTAGGGGCTCCAGTCGTAGGTGCTAATGTTGTAGGAGCCATAGTGGTAAGAGCTGCAGTTGTTGTTGCAGCTGTTGTAGGTTTGGCAGTAGTTTGAGCGCCGGTTGTAGGTGAGGCAGTTGTAGGTGCTGCAGTTGTAGCAGCAACAGTTGTCGGTGCAGCTGTTGTAGGGGCTCCAGTCGTAGGTGCTAATGTTGTAGGAGCTGCAGTTGTTGGTGCAGCTGTTGTAGCAGCAACAGTGGTAGGTGCTGCAGTCGTAGGAGCCTCGGTTGTAGGTACGGCCGTCGTAGGAGCCGCAGTTGTAGGAGCGACTGTGGGAGGTGCGGCAGTCGTAGGGGCTCCAGTTGTAGGTGCTAATGTTATAGGAGCCATAGTGGTAGGAGGTGCAGTTGTTGGTGCAGCTGTTGTAGGTTTGGCAGTAGTTTGAGCGCCGGTTGTAGGTGAGGCAGTTGTAGGTGCTGCAGTTGTAGCAGCAACAGTTGTCGGTGCAGCTGTTGTAGGGGCTCCAGTCGTAGGTGATAATGTTGTAGGAGCTGCAGTTGTTGGTGCAGCTGTTGTAGGTTTGGCTGTCGTTTGAGCGCCGGTTGTAGGTGAGGCAGTTGTTGGTGCTGCAGTTGTAGCAGCAACAGTGGTAGCTGCTGCAGTCGTAGGGGCCTCGGTTGTAGGTACGGCCGTCGTAGGAGCCGCAGTTGTAGGAGCGACTGTGGTAGGTGCGGCAGTCGTAGGAGCTGCAGTTGTTTGTGCTTCAGTTGTGGGTGCAGCTGTTGTAGGTTTGGCTGTCGTTTGAGCGCCGGTTGTAGGTGAGGCAGTTGTTGGTGCTGCAGTTGTAGCAGCAACAGTTGTTTGTGCTGCAGTCGTAGGAGCCTCGGTTGTTGGTGCAAGTGTTGTAGGAGTAATAGTCGTAGGGGCTGCTGTTGTGGTTGCTGCAGTCGTAGGAGTTGCAGTTGTTTGTGCTTCAGTTGTGGGTGCAGCTGTTGAAGGGGCTCCAGTCTTAAGTGCTAATGTTGTAGGAACCATAGTGGTAGTAGCTGCAGTTGTTGGTGCAGCTGTTGTAGGTTTGGCAGTAGTTTGAGCACCGGTTGTAGGTGAGGCAGTTGTAGGTGCTGCTGTCATAGGTGCTGCAGTTGTAGCAGCAACAGTTGTCGGTGCAGCTGTTGTAGGGGCTCCAGTCGTAGCTGCTAATGTTGTAGGAGCCATAGTAGTAGGAGCTGCAGTTGTTGGTGCAGCTGTTGTAGGTTTGGCTGTCGTTTGAGCGCCGGTTGTAGGTGAGGCAGTTGTAGGTGCTGCTGTTGTAGGTGCTGCACTTGTAGCAGCAACAGTGGTAGGTGCTGCAGTCGTAGGAGCCTCGGTTGTCGGTACGGCCGTCGTAGGAGCCGCAGTTGTAGGAGCGACTGTGGTAGGTGCGGCAGTCGTAGGAGCTCCAGTTGTAGGTGCTAATGTTATAGGAGCCATAGTGGTAGGAGGTGCAGTTGTTGGTGCAGCTGTTGTAGGTTTGGCAGTAGTTTGAGTGCCGGTTGTAGGTGAGGCAGTTGTAGGTGCTGCAGTTGTAGCAGCAACAGTGGTAGATGCTGCAGTCGTAGGAGCCTCGGTTGTAGGTGCTAATGTTATAGGAGCCATAGTGGTAGGAGGTGCAGTTGTTGGTGCAGCTGTTGTAGGTTTGGTAGTAGTTTGAGCACCGGTTGTAGGTGAGGCAGTTGTAGGTGCTGCTGTTGTAGGTGCTGCAGTTGTAGCAGCAACAGTTGTCGGTGCAGCTGTTGTAGGGGCTCCAGTCGTAGGTGATAATGTTGTAGGAGCTGCAGTTGTTGGTGCAGCTGTTGTAGGTTTGGCTGTCGTTTGAGCGCCGGTTGTAGGTGAGGCAGTTGTAGGTGCTGCAGTTGTAGCAGCAACCGTGGTAGGTGCTGCAGTTGTAGGAGCCTCGGTTGTAGGTACGGCCGTCGTAGGAGCCGCAGTTGTAGGAGCGACTGTGGTAGGTGCGGCAGTCGTAGGAGCTGCAGTTGTTTGTGCTTCAGTTGTGGGTGCAGCTGTTGTAGGGGCTCCAGTCATAGGTGCTAATGTTGTAGGACCCATAGTGGTAGGAGCTGCAGTTGTTGGTGCAGCTGTTGTAGGTTTGGCAGTAGTTTGAGCGCCTGTTGTAGGTGAGGCAGTTGTAGGTGCTGCAGTTGTAGCAGCAACAGTTGTCGGTGCAGCTGTTGTAGGGGCTCCAGTCGTAGGAGCCTTGGTTGTTGGTGCACGTGTTGTAGGGGCTGTAGTTGTAGGAGCAATAGTGGTAGGAGCAGCTGTTGTGGTTGCTGCTGTTGTAGGTGCAGCTGTTGTAGGGGCTCCAGTCGTAGGTGCTAATGTTGTAGGACCCATAGTGGTAGGAGCTGCAGTTGTGGGTGCAGCTGTTGTAGCTTTGGCTGTCGTTTGAGCGCCGGTTGTAGGTGAGGCAGTTGTTGGTGCTGCACTTGTAGCAGCAACAGTGGTAGGTGCTGCAGTCGTAGGAGCCTCGGTTGTAGGTACGGCCGCCGTAGAAGCCGCAGTTGTAGGAGCGACTGTGGTAGGTGCGGCAGTCGTAGGAGCTGCAGTTGTTTGTGCTTCAGTTGTGGGTGCAGCTGTTGTAGGGGCTCCAGTCGTAGGCGCTAATGTTGTAGGAGCCATAGTGGTAGGAGCTGCAGTTGTTGGTGCAGCTGTTGTAGGTTTGGCAGTAGTTTGAGCGCCGGTTGTAGGTGAGGCAGTTATAGGTGCTGCAGTTGTAGCAGCAACAGTTGTCGGTGCAGCTGTTGTAGGGGCTCCAGTCGTAGGTGATAATGTTGTAGGAGCTGCAGTTGTTGGTGCAGCTGTTGTAGGTTTGGCTGTCGTTTGAGCGCCGGTTGTAGGTGAGGCAGTTGTAGGTGCTGCAGTTGTAGCAGCAACCGTGGTAGGTGCTGCAGTTGTAGGAGCCTCGGTTGTAGGTACGGCCGTCGTAGGAGCCGCAGTTGTAGGAGCGACTGTGGTAGGTGCGGCAGTCGTAGGAGCTGCAGTTGTTTGTGCTTCAGTTGTGGGTGCAGCTGTTGTAGGGGCTCCAGTCATAGGTGCTAATGTTGTAGGACCCATAGTGGTAGGAGCTGCAGTTGTTGGTGCAGCTGTTGTTGTTGCAACAGTAGTAGGTGCTGCTGTCAAAGGTGCAGCAGTAGTTGTTGGTTGCACCGTTGTCGGATTAGCAGTAGTTGTAGTTGCTGCTGTTGTTGTTGCTTCAGTAGTAGGTGCTGTTGTCGTAGGTGCAGCAGTAGTTGTAGGTGGCACTGTTGTCGGAGCAGCAGTAGTTGTAGGTGCTGCTGTTGTTGTTGCTTCAGTAGTAGGGGCTGCAGTTTTAGGGACAGCAGTAGTTGTAGTTGGCACTGTTGTCGGAGCAGCAGTAGTGTTAGGTGCTGCTGTTGATGTTGCAACAGTAGTAGGGGCTGCAGTTGTAGGTGAAGGTTGCACCGTGGTCGGATTAGCAGTAGTTGTAGGTTGCACCGTTGATGGAGCAGCAGTAGTTGTAGGTGCTGCTGTTGTTGTTGCAACAGTAGTAGGTGCTGTTGTTGTAGGTGCAGCAGTAGTTGTAGGTGACACTGTTGTCGGAGCAGCAGTAGTTGTAGGTGCTGCTGTTGTTGTTGCAACAGTAGTAGGTGCTGTTGTTGTAGGTGCAGCAGTAGTTGTAGGTGACACTGTTGTCGGAGCAGCAGTAGTTGTAGGTGCTGCTGTTGTTGTTGCAACAGTAGTAGGTTGCACCGTTGTCGGATTAGCAGTAGTTGTAGGTTGCACCGTTGTCGGAGCAGCAGTAGTTGTAGGTGCTGCTGTTGTTGTTGCAACAGTAGTAGGGGCTGCAGTTGTAGGTGTAGCAGTAGTTGTATGTTGCACCGTTGTCGGATTAGCAGTAGTTGTGGGTTGCACCGTTGTCGGAGCAGCAGTAGTTGTAGGTGCTGCTGTTGTTGTTGCTTCAGTAGTAGGTGCTGCTGTCGTAGGTGCAGCAGTAGTTGAAGGTTGCACCGTTGTCGGATTAGCAGTAGTTGTAGGTTGCACCGTTGTCGGAGCAGCAGTAGTTGTAGTTGCTGCTGTTGTTGTTGCTTTAGTAGTAGGTGCTGTTGTCGTAGGTGCAGCAGTAGTTGTAGGTGGCACTGTTGTCGGAGCATCAGTAGTTGTAGGTGCTGCTGTTGTTGTTGCTTCAGTAGTAGGGGAAGCAGTTTTAGGTGAAGCAGTAATAGTAGTTTGCACCGTTGATGGAGCAGCAGTAGTTGTAGGTGCTGCTGTTGTTGTTGCAACAGTAGTAGGGGCTGCAGTTGTAGGTGAAGCAGTAATAGTAGTTTGCACCGTTGATGGAGCAGCAGTAGTTGTAGGTGCTGCTGTTGTTGTTGCAACAGTAGTAGGTGCTGCTGTCGTAGGTGCAGCAGTAGTTGTAGGTTGCACCGTTGTCGGATTAGCAGTAGTTGTAGGTTGCACTGTTGTCGGAGCAGCAGTAGTTGTAGGTGCTGCTGTTGTTGTTGCAACAGTAGTAGGTGCTGCTGTCGTAGGTGCAGCAGTAGTTGTAGGTTGCACCGTTGTCGGATTAGCAGTAGTTGTAGGTTGCACCGTCGTCGGAGCAGCAGTAGTTGTAGGTGGCACTGTTGTCGGAGCAGCAGTAGTTGTGGGTGCTGCTGTTGTTGTTGCAACAGTAGTAGGGGCTGCAGTTGTACGTGTAGCAGTAGTTTTAGGTTGCACCGTTGTCGGAGCAGCAGTAGTTGTAGTTGCTGCTGTTGTTGTTGCTTCAGTAGTAGGTGCTGTTGTCGTAGGTGCAGCAGTAGTTGTAGGTGACACTGTTGTCGGAGTAGCAGTAATTGTAGGTGCTGCTGTTGTTGTTGCAACAGTAGTAGGTGCTGCTGTCAAAGGTGCAGCAGTAGTTGTAGGTTGCACCGTCGTCGGAGCAGCAGTAGTTGTAGGTGGCACTGTTGTCGGAGCAGCAGTAGTTGTGGGTGCTGCTGTTGTTGTTGCAACAGTAGTAGGGGCTGCAGTTGTAGGTGTAGCAGTAGTTGTAGGTTGCACCGTTGTCGGAGCAGCAGTAGTTGTAGGTGCTGCTGTTGTTGTTGCTTCAGTAGTAGGTGCTGCTGTCATAGGTGCAGCAGTAGTTGTAGGTGACACTGTTGTCGGAGCAGCAGTAGTTGTAGTTGCTGCTCTTGTTGTTGCTTCAGTAGTAGGTGCTGTTGTCGTAGGTGCAGCAGTAGTTGTAGGTGACACTGTTGTCGGAGCAGCAGTAGTTGTAGGTGCTGCTGTTGTTGTTGCAAAAGTAGTAGGGGCTGCAGTTGTGGGTGTAGCTTTAGTTGTAGGTTGCACCGTTCTCGGAGCAGCAGTAGTTGTAGATGCTGCTGTTGTTGTTGCAACAGTAGTAGGGGCTGCAGTTGTAGGTGAAGCAGTAATAGTAGTTTGCACCGTTGATGGAGCAGCAGTAGTTGTAGGTGCTGCTGTTGTCGTTGCAACAGTAGTAGGTGCTGCTGTCGTAGGTGCAGCAGTAGTTGTAGGTTGCACCGTTGTCGGATTAGCAGTAGTTGTAGGTTGCAGCGTTGTCGGAGCAGCAGTAGTTGTAGGTGCTGCTGTTGTTGTTGCAACAGTAGTAGGTGCTGCCGTCGTAGGTGCAGTAGTAGTTGTAGGTTGCACCGTTGTCGGATTAGCAGTGGTTGTAGTTTGCACCGTTGATGGAGCAGCACTAGTTGTAGGTGCTGCTGTTGTTGTGGCAACAGTAGTAGGTGCTGCTGTCGTTGGGGCAGCAGTAGTTGTGGGTGCTGCTGTTGTTGTTGCAACAGTAGTAGGGGCTGCAGTTGTAGGTGTAGTAGTAGTTGTAGGTTGCACCGTTGTCGGAGCAGCAGTAGTTGTAGGTGCTGCTGTTGTTGTTGCTTCAGTAGTAGTTGCTGCTGTCGTAGGTGCAGCAGTAGTTGTAGGTTGCACTGTTGTCGGAGCAGCAGTAGTTGTAGGTGCTGCTGTTGTTGTTGCAACAGTAGTAGGTGCTGCTGTTGTAGGTGCAGCAGCAGTTGTAGGTTGCACCGTTGTCGGATTAGCAGTAGTTGTAGGTTGCACCGTCGTCGGAGCAGCAGTAGTTGTAGGTGGCACTGTTGTCGGAGCAGCAGTAGTTGTGGGTGCTGCTGTTGTTGTTGCAACAGTAGTAGGGGCTGCAGTTGTAGGTGTAGCAGTAGTTTTAGGTTGCACCGTTGTCGGAGCAGCAGTAGTTGTAGGTGCTGCTGTTGTTGTTGCAACAGTAGTAGGGGCTGCAGTTGTAGGTGAAGCAGTGGTTGTAGTTTGCACCATTGATGGAGCAGCAGTAGTTGTAGGTGCTGCTGTTGTTGTTGCAACAGTAGTAGGGGCTGCAGTTGTAGGTGAAGCAGTAATAGTAGTTTGCACCGTTGATGGAGCAGCAGTAGTTGTAGGTGCTGCTGTTGTCGTTGCAACAGTAGTAGGTGCTGCTGTCGTAGGTGCAGCAGTAGTTGTAGGTTGCACCGTTGTCGGATTAGCAGTAGTTGTAGGTTGCACCGTTGTCGGAGCAGCAGTAGTTGTAGTTGCTGCTGTTGTTGTTGCTTCAGTAGTAGGGGCTGCAGTTTTAGGGACAGCAGTAGTTGTAGTTGGCACTGTTGTCGGAACAGCAGTAGTTGTAGGTGCTGCTGTTGTTGTTGCAACAGTAGTAGGGGCTGCAGTTGTAGGTGTAGCAGTAGTTGTATGTTGCACCGTTGTCAGATTAGCAGTACTTGTGGGTTGCACCGTTGTCGGAGCAGCAGTAGTTGTAGGTGCTGCTGTTGTTGTTGCTTCAGTAGTAGGTGCTGCTGTCGTAGGTGCAGCAGTAGTTGAAGGTTGCACCGTTGTCGGATTAGCTGTAGTTGTAGGTTGCACCGTTGTCGGAGCAGCAGTAGTTGTAGTTGCTGCTGTTGTTGTTGCTTCAGTAGTAGGTGCTGTTGTCGTAGGTGCAGCAGTAGTTGTAGGTGGCACTGTTGTCGGAGCAGCAGTAGTTGTAGGTGCTGCTGTTTTTGTTGCAACAGTAGTAGGGGCTGCAGTTGTAGGTGAAGCAGTGGTTGTAGTTTGCACCATTGATGGAGCAGCAGTAGTTGTAGGTGCTGCTGTCGTAAGTGCAATAGTAGTTGTAGGTTGCACCGTTGTCGGATAAGCAGTGGTTGTAGGTTGCACCGTTGTCGGAGCAGCAGTAGTTGTAGTTGCTGCTGTTGTTGTTGCTTCAGTAGTAGGGGCTGCAGTTTTAGGGACAGCAGTAGTTGTAGTTGGCACTGTTGTCGGAACAGCAGTAGTTGTAGGTGCTGCTGTTGTTGTTGCAACAGTAGTAGGGGCTGCAGTTGTAGGTGTAGCAGTAGTTGTATGTTGCACCGTTGTCGGATTAGCAGTAGTTGTGGGTTGCACCGTTGTCGGAGCAGCAGTAGTTGTAGGTGCTGCTGTTGTTGTTGCTTCAGTAGTAGGTGCTGCTGTCGTAGGTGCAGCAGTAGTTGAAGGTTGCACCGTTGTCGGATTAGCAGTAGTTGTAGGTTGCACCGTTGTCGGAGCAGCAGTAGTTGTAGTTGCTACTGTTGTTGTTGCTTTAGTAGTAGGTGCTGTTGTCGTAGGTGCAGCAGTAGTTGTAGGTGGCACTGTTGTCGGAGCAGCAGTAGTTGTAGGTGCTGCTGTTGTTGTTGCTTCAGTAGTAGGGGCTGCAGTTTTAGGGACAGCAGTAGTTGTAGTTGGCACTGTTGTCGGAGCAGCAGTAGTTGTAGGTGCTGCTGTTGTTGTTGCAACAGTAGTAGGGGCTGCAGTCGTAGGTGAAGCAGTAATAGTAGTTTGCACCGTTGATGGAGCAGCAGGAGTTGTAGGTGCTGCTGTTGTTGTTGCAACAGTAGTAGGTGCTGCTGTCGTAGGTGCAGCAGTAGTTGTAGGTTGCACCGTTGTCGGATTAGCAGTAGTTGTAGGTTGCACCGTTGTCGGAGCAGCAGTAGTTGTAGGTGCTGCTGTTGTTGTTGCAACAGTAGTAGGTGCTGCTGTCGTGGGTGCAGCAGTAGTTGTAGGTTGCACCGTTGTCGGATTAGCAGTAGTTGTAGGTTGCACCGTCGTCGGAGCAGCAGTAGTTGTAGGTGGCACTGTTGTCGGAGCAGCAGTAGTTGTGGGTGCTACTGTTGTTGTTGCAACAGTAGTAGGGGCTGCAGTTGTAGGTGAAGCAGTGGTTGTAGTTTGCACCGTTGATGGAGCAGCAGTAGTTGTAGGTGCTGCTGTTGTTGTTGCTTCAGTAGTAGGTGCTGTTGTCGTAGGTGCAGCAGTAGTTGTAGGTGACACTGTTGTCGGAGCAGCAGTAGTTGTAGGTGCTGCTGTTGTTGTTGCAACAGTAGTAGGGGCTGCAGTTGTGGGTGTAGCTTTAGTTGTAGGTTGCACCGTTGTCGGAGCAGCAGTAGTTGTATATGCTGCTGTTGTTGTTGCAACAGTAGTAGGGGTTGCAGCTGTAGGTGAAGCAGTGGTTGTAGTTTGCACCGTTGATGGAGCAGCAGTAGTTGTAGGTGCTGCTGTCGTAAGTGCAGCAGTAGTTGTAGGTTGCACCGTTGTCGGATTAGCAGTAGTTGCAGGTTGCACCGTTGTCGGAGCAGCAGTAGTTGTAGTTGCTGCTGTTGTTGTTGCTTCAGTAGTAGGGGCTGCAGTTTTAGGGACAGCAGTAGTTGTAGTTGGCACTGTTGTCGGAGCAGCAGTAGTTGTAGGTGCTGCTGTTGTTGTTGCAACAGTAGTAGGGGCTGCAGTTGTAGGTGTAGCAGTAGTTGTAGGTTGCACCGTTGTCGGAGCAGCAGTAGTTGTAGGTGCTGCTGTTGTTGTTGCAACAGTAGTAGGTGCTGCTGTCGTAGGTGCAGCAGTGGTTGTAGGTTGCACCGTCGTCGGATTAGCAGGAGTTGTAGGTGCTGCTGTTGTAGGTGTAGCTGTAGTTGTAGGTTGCACCGTTGTTGGAGCAGCATTAGTTGTAGGTGCTGCTGTTGTTGTTGCAACAGTAGTAGGGGCTGCAGTTGTAGGTGAAGCAGTAGTTGTAGGTTGAACCGTTGATGGAGCAGCAGTAGTTGTAGGTGCTGCTGTTGTTGTTGGAACAGTATTGGGGGCTGCAGTTGTAGGTGTAGCAGTAGTTGTAAGTGCTGCTGTTGTTGTTGCATCAGTTGTAGGTGTAGCAGTTGTGGCTACTATTGTTGTAGGGGCCGCAGTCGTAGGTGCAGCAGTTGTATGCAAAACGGTTGTCGGGGCAGCAGTTGTTGGAGCAGCAGTGGTAGGGACTGCAGTGGTAGGTGCAGCAGTTGTAGCCTCAGCAGTTGTAGGTGCTGTAGTTGCCAGGTCAACTGTTTTAGCCTCATCAGTTGTAGTTGGTGCAGTTGTCAGGGCAACAGTCGTAGGTGCAGCAGTTGTAGGTGCAGCAGTTGTAGGTGCAGCAGTTGTAAGTGCTGCAGTTGTAGGGGAAGCAGTTGTAGGTGCTGCAGTTGTAGGGGAAGCAGTTGTAGGTGCTGCAGTTGTAGGGGCCGCAGTTGTAGGTGCTGCAGTTGTAGGGGCATCAGTTGTAGGTGCAGCAGTCGTAGGAGATGCAGTTGTAGGCGCACCAGTTTTAGGTGCTGCTGTTGTAGGGTCAGCAGTTTTAGGTGCAGCAGTCGTATGTGAAGCAGTTGTTGGGGCAGCGGTCGTAGGCAAAGCAGTTGTAGGCGCAGCAGTTGAAAGTGCATTAGTCGTTGGGGCAACAGTCGTAGGAGCAGCAGTTGTGGGTGCTATTGTTGTAGGGGCAGCAGTTGTAGGTGCAGCAGTTGTAGGCTCAGCAGTTGTAGGTGCTGCAGTTGTCAGGGCAACAGTAGTAGGTGCAGCAGTGGTAGGTGCTGCAGTTGTAGGGGCAGCAGTTGTTGGAGCAACAGTTGTAGGTGAAGCAGTCGTTGGAGCAGCAGTGGAAGCTGTAAATGAGAAAAAAAGTAAACCTACTATAGTAGTAGGTGCTGTAGTCGCAGGTCGAGACGTTGTAGGTGCAGCAGTTGTAGGCGAAGCAGATGTAGGCGCAGCAGTTGTAGGCACAGAAGTTGTTGGAGCAACAGTTGAAGGCGCTGCAGTTGTTGGAGCAGCAGTAATTGTAGGTTGCACAGTTGTCGGAGCAGCAGTAGTTTTAGATGCTGCTGTTGTTGTTGCAACAGTAGTAGGGGCTGCAGTTGTAGGTGAAGCAGTAGTTGTAGGTTGCACTGTTGATGGTTCAGCAGTAGTTGTAGGTGCTGCTGTCGTTGGTGCAGCAGTAGTTGTAGGTTGCAACGTTGTCGGAGCAGCAGTAGTTGTAGGTGCTGCTGTTGTTGTTGCAACAGTAGTAGGGGCTGCAGTTGTAGGAGAAGCAGTAATAGTAGTTCGCACAGTTGATGGAGCCGCAGTAGTTGTAGGTGATGCTGTTGTTGTTGCAACAGTAGTAGGGGCTGCAGTTGTAGGTGTAGCAGTAGTTGTAGGTTGCACCGTTGTCGGAGCAGCAGTAGTTGTAGTTGCTGATGTTGTTGTTGGAACAGTAGTAGGGGCTGCAGTTGTGGGTGTAGCAGTAGTTGTAGGTTGCACCGTTGTCGGAGCTGCAGTAGTTGTAGGTGCTGCTGTTGTCAGGTCAACAGTTGTAGCCTCAGCAGTTGTCAGGGCAACAGTAGTAGGTGCAGCAGTTGTAGGTGCTGCAGTTGTAGGGGCAGCAGTTGTTGGAGCAACAGTTGTAGGTGAAGCAGTCGTTGGAGCAGCAGTGGAAGCTGTAAATGAGAAAAAAAATAAACCTACTATAGTAGTAGGTGCTGTAGTCGCAGGTCGAGACGTTATAGGTGCAGCAGTTGTAGGCGAAGCAGATGTAGGCGCAGCAGTTGTAGGCACAGAAGTCGTTGGAGCAACAGTTGAAGGCGCTGCAGTTGTTGGAGCAGCAGTAGTTTTGGGTGCTGCTGTTGTTGTTGCAACAGTAGTAGGGGCTGCAGTTGTAGGTGAAGCAGTTGTTGTAGGTTGCACTGTTGATGGTTCAGCAGTAGTTGTAGGTGCTGCTGTCGTTGGTGCAGCAGTAGTTGTAGGTTGCAACGTTGTCGGAGCAGCAGTAGTTGTAGGTGCTGCTGTTGTTGTTGCAACAGTAGTAGGGGCTGCAGTTGTAGGAGAAGCAGTAATAGTAGTTTGCACAGTTGATGGAGCAGCAGTAGTTGTAGGTGCTGCTGTTGTTGTTGCAACAGTAGTAGGAGCTGCTGTTGTAGGTGCAGCAGTAGTTGTAGGTTGCACTGTTGTCGGATTAGCAGTAGTTGTAGGTGATGCTGTTGTTGTTGCAACAGTAGTAGGGGCTGCAGTTGTAGGTACTGCAGTTGTGGGTGCAGCAGATGTAGGTGCTGCAGTTGTAAGTGCAGCAGTCGTAGGTGCTGCAGTTGTGGGTGCAGCAGTCGTAGGTGCAGCAGTTGTAGGTGCTGCAGTTGTAGGGGCAGCAGTCGTAGGTGCAGCAGTCGTAGGTGTTGCAGTTGTGGATACAGCAGTTGTAGGTGCTGCAGTTGTAGGTGCAGCAGTTGTCAGTGCAGCAGTCGTAGGTGCTGCAGTTGTAGGGGCAGCAGTTGTGGGTGCTGCAGTTGTGGGTGAAGCAGTACTAAGTGCTGCAGTTGAGGGTGCAGCAGTTGTAGGGTCAGCTGTTGTATTTGCAGAAATCATAGGGGCAGCAGTTGTGGGTGAAGCAGTTGTAGGTGCTGCAGTTTTGGGTGCTGCAGTTGTGGGTGCAGCAGTTGTAGGTGCTGCAGTTGTAGGTGAAGCAGTTGTGGGTGAAGCAGTCGTATATGCTGCAGTTGTAGGTGCTGCAGTTGTTGGTGCAGCAGTTGTAGGTGCTGCAGTGGTGGGTGAAGCAATCATAGGTGCAGCAGTTGTAAGTGCTGCAGTTGTAGGTGAAGCAGTTGTTGGTGTAGCAGTTGTAGGTGCAGCAGTTGTGGGTGCTGCAGTTGTCGGTGTAGCAGTTGTGGGTGCTGCATTTGTAGGTGAAGCAGTTGTAGGTGAAGCAGTTGTGGGTACAGCAGTCATAGGTGCTGCTGTTGTAGGTGAAGCAGTTGTAGGTGAATCAGTTGTGGGTGCAACAGTCGTAGGTGTTGAAGTTGTTGGTGCAGCAGTTGTAGGTGCAGCAATTGTAAGGGATGCAGTTGTAGCTGAAGTAGTCGTAGGTGCAGCAGTTGTGGGTGCTGGAGTTGTAGGTGATTCAGTTGTAGGTGCTGCAGTTGTAGGGGCAGCAGTCGTAGGTGCTGCAGTTGTAGGTGAAGCTGTTGTGGGTGCAGCAGTCGTAGGTGTTGCAGTTGTGGATGCAGCAGTTGTAGGTGCTGCAGGTGTAGGTGTAGCAGTTGTCAGTGCAGCAGTTTTAGGTGCTACAGTTGTCGTTGCTGCAGTTGTCAGGGCAGCAGTTGTAGGAGAAGCAGTTGTTGGGGCAGCGGTCATAGGCGGAGCAGTTGTATGCGAAGCAGTTGTAGGCCCAGCAGTTGTAGGTGACACAGGTGTCGGGGCAACAGTAGTAGCCGCAGCGGTTGTAGCCGCAGCGGTTGTAGCCTCAGCAGTTGTAGGTGCTGCAGTTGTCAGGTCAACAGTTGTAGCCTCAGCAGTTGCAGGCACAGCAGTTGTAGGTGACACAGGTGTCGGGGCAACAGTACTAGCCGCAGCGGTTGTAGCCGCAGCAGTTGTAGGTGCTGGCAGTTGTCAGGTCAACAGTTGTTGCCTCAGCAGTTGTAGGTACAGCAGTTGTAGGTGCTGCAGTTGTCAGGGCAACAGTAGTAGGTGCAGCAGTTGTAGGTGCTGCAGTTGTAGGGGCAGCAGTTGTTGGAGCAACAGTTGTAGGTGAAGCAGTCGTTGGAGCAGCAGTGGAAGCTGTAAATGAGAAAAAAAGTAAACCTACTATAGTAGTAGGTGCTGTAGTCGCAGGTCGAGACGTTGTAGGTGCAGCAGTTGTAGGCGAAGCAGATGTAGGCGCAGCAGTTGTAGGCACAGAAGTCGTTGGAGCAACAGTTGAAGGCGCTGCAGTTGTTGGAGCAACAGTTGAAGGCGCTGCAGTTGTTGGAGCAGCAGTAATTGTAGGTTGCACAGTTGTCGGAGCAGCAGTAGTTTTAGATGCTGCTGTTGTTGTTGCAACAGTAGTAGGGGCTGCAGTTGTAGGTGAAGCAGTAGTTGTAGGTTGCACTGTTGATGGTTCAGCAGTAGTTGTAGGTGCTGCTGTCGTTGGTGCAGCAGTAGTTGTAGGTTGCAACGTTGTCGGAGCAGCAGTAGTTGTAGGTGCTGCTGTTGTTGTTGCAACAGTAGTAGGGGCTGCAGTTGTAGGAGAAGCAGTAATAGTAGTTCGCACAGTTGATGGAGCCGCAGTAGTTGTAGGTGATGCTGTTGTTGTTGCAACAGTAGTAGGGGCTGCAGTTGTAGGTGTAGCAGTAGTTGTAGGTTGCACCGTTGTCGGAGCAGCAGTAGTTGTAGTTGCTGATGTTGTTGTTGCAACAGTAGTAGGGGCTGCAGTTGTGGGTGTAGCAGTAGTTGTAGGTTGCACAGGTGTCGGGGCAACAGTAGTAGCCGCAGCGGTTGTAGCCGCAGCGGTTGTAGCCTCAGCAGTTGTAGGTGCTGCAGTTGTCAGGTCAACAGTTGTAGCCTCAGCAGTTGCAGGCACAGCAGTTGTAGGTGACACAGGTGTCGGGGCAACAGTACTAGCCGCAGCGGTTGTAGCCGCAGCAGTTGTAGGTGCTGCAGTTGTCAGGTCAACAGTTGTTGCCTCAGCAGTTGTAGGTACAGCAGTTGTAGGTGCTGCAGTTGTCAGGGCAACAGTAGTAGGTGCAGCAGTTGTAGGTGCTGCAGTTGTAGGGGCAGCAGTTGTTGGAGCAACAGTTGTAGGTGAAGCAGTCGTTGGAGCAGCAGTGGAAGCTGTAAATGAGAAAAAAAGTAAACCTACTATAGTAGTAGGTGCTGTAGTCGCAGGTCGAGACGTTGTAGGTGCAGCAGTTGTAGGCGAAGCAGATGTAGGCGCAGCAGTTGTAGGCACAGAAGTCGTTGGAGCAACAGTTGAAGGCGCTGCAGTTGTTGGAGCAACAGTTGAAGGCGCTGCAGTTGTTGGAGCAGCAGTAATTGTAGGTTGCACAGTTGTCGGAGCAGCAGTAGTTTTAGATGCTGCTGTTGTTGTTGCAACAGTAGTAGGGGCTGCAGTTGTAGGTGAAGCAGTCGTTGTAGGTTGCACTGTTGATGGTTCAGCAGTAGTTGTAGGTGCTGCTGTCGTTGGTGCAGCAGTAGTTGTAGGTTGCACTGTTGTCGGATTAGCAGTAGTTGTAGGTGATGCTGTTGTTGTTGCAACAGTAGTAGGGGCTGCAGTTGTAGGTGTAGCAGTAGTTGTAGGTTGCACCGTTGTCGGAGCAGCAGTAGTTGTAGTTGCTGATGTTGTTGTTGCAACAGTAGTAGGGGCTGCAGTTGTGGGTGAAGCAGTAGTTGTAGGTTGCACCGTTGTCGGAGCTGCAGTAGTTGTAGGTGCTGCTGTTGTCAGGTCAACAGTTGTAGCCTCAGCAGTTGTCAGGGCAACAGTAGTAGGTGCAGCAGTTGTAGGTGCTGCAGTTGTAGGGGCAGCAGTTGTTGGAGCAACAGTTGTAGGTGAAGCAGTCGTTGGAGCAGCAGTGGAAGCTGTAAATGAGAAAAAAAGTAAACCTACTATAGTAGTAGGTGCTGTAGTCGCAGGTCGAGACGTTGTAGGTGCAGCAGTTGTAGGCGAAGCAGATGTAGGCGCAGCAGTTGTAGGCACAGCAGTCGTTGGAGGAACAGTTGAAGGCGCTGCAGTTGTTGGAGCAGCAGTAGTTTTAGGTGCTGCTGTTGTTGTTGCAACAGTAGTAGGGGCTGCAGTTGTAGGTGAAGCAGTTGTTGTAGGTTGCACTGTTGATGGTTCAGCAGTAGTTGTAGGTGCTGCTGTCGTTGGTGCAGTAGTAGTTGTAGGTTGCAACGTTGTCGGAGCAGCAGTAGTTGTAGGTGCTGCTGTTGTTGTTGCAACAGTAGTAGGGGCTGCAGTTGTAGGAGAAGCAGTAATAGTAGTTTGCACAGTTGATGGAGCAGCAGTAGTTGTAGGTGCTGCTGTTGTTGTTGCAACAGTAGTAGGAGCTGCTGTCGTAGGTGCAGCAGTAGTTGTAGGTTGCACTGTTGTCGGATTAGCAGTAGTTGTAGGTGATGCTGTTGTTGTTGCAACAGTAGTAGGGGCTGCAGTTGTAGGTGTAGCAGTAGTTGTAGGTTGCACCGTTGTCGGAGCAAGCAGTAGTTGTAGTGTGCTGATGTTGTGTTTGCAACAGTAGTAGGGGCTGCAGTTGTGGGTGTAGCAGTAGTTGTAGGTTGCACCGTTGTCGGAGCTGCAGTAGTTGTAGGTGCTGCTGTTGTTGTTGCAACAGTAGTATGTGCTGCTTTTGTAGGTGCAGCAGTAGTTTTAGGTTGCATCGTTGTCGGATTAGCAGTAGTTGTAGGTTGTACCGTTTTGGGAGCAGCAGTAGTTGTAGGTGCTGCTGTTGTTGTTGCAACAGTAGTAGGGGCTGCTGTCAAAGGTGCAGCAGTAGTTGTAGGTTGCACCGTCGTCGGAGCAGCAGTAGTTTGTAGGTGCACTGTTGTCGAGCAGCAGTAGTTGTGGGTGCTGTGCTGTTTTGTTGCTTCAGTAGTAGGTGCTGTTGTCGTAGGTGCAGCAGTAGTTGTAGTGCACTGTTGTCGGAGTAGCAGTATTGTAGGTGCTGCTGTTGTTGTTGCAACAGTAG